CATTTTTGGCCATATATAGGTGTTTTGAATTGTTTTTTGGATGAATGGTGTTTTGGTTTAGTATTGGATATGCGTTGTGTGGAAACTCGGACAATTTAATATTATTTTGTTGGGTTTATACCCGATGATTTTAGGGTAAAAAGCGATGTTTTTGTTGTTTTTTAAGGGCTGTTTAATCTCATAAATAATGGTTATTGAACTGAGTGGAGTGTAGTTTGGTTCGAAACCAAACGCGCGATTTGAAATCACAAGTTTGATTTCGAACCAAAATTGCGCGACACGAAGTTCAATTATCAATTATTTACATCCATTGTACAGCATAAAATTTTAGTAATTCGTAGAAATATAATATTTGCTTCTCAAAGAAGTGTGATTGATAGTTCAAAATGGTGTGATTTAGGCTGAATTCAACCTGCTAAGAACCAATCAGATTGCAGGATTCACTTGTGATTTCAAAATGGATATAAATTAATGGAGATATCTMCCACCCTCACTTGCAAGAGCGACTTTTAAATTATTTTGTGTTTTTTTTAGGTTATAAACTTTTAATTGACTTAAAGTAAGTTTGATCTCTTYAGTGATGATTCTAGCAGTTATCACATGTTCTTTTACAAAGACGTTTCATCATCCAGTTACTGCAGAAGTTTTTATTACAGTTTGATGCCTTGTCGCTGCAGTCTGGAAAATAAAGAAGCTAATTATTAGGGAGCTGCTCAGCTTTTTCGCAGGTTCATTGTTTTTTCATGTTATCTCTTGAGATATCTTKGTTTTCAATGTAAACCTACTCACTTGATGGTGTGCTGGCAACTGGCTTCCTGGTAGTAATCTGGACAGGTGGCCTTGTTGGTGGTCGAGATGGTCTTGTTGGTGGTTCGATAGGTGGTCTTGTTTTAGGAGGACCTACTGTTGGCTCTGATAATGCATGAAATAAAATTGTATCCAATGAAYTGATTATGTGTTACTTGCAGTCACCTCAATAGGCACATTCTGTAAGAAATGTTTTGTCGCGGATTCCGTTGATAGTATACCTATACTTACCGCCTGTCCTSTGATAAATCCAATTCAGATACGATGACACTCTAGTGAAGACTGTATAACGTGAGGGAAGACAGCCACTGGCGCTAAAACTAACAATACCATGTACAACCCATTTACCGCTAACCTTATGAAACAATTAGAAAACAACATATTGAATGGAAAGTTCATAAAACGTCTGGTGRTGGTAGCTGAGGTAATTAGTGGTTATGTTATCACTTAGTGGAGGTATTGCTTGGCAGTGCTAGCTGTGGTGGTGGTAGTCAGGTTGTATGGAGTAGATAGTGGTTTTACGGAGTTATAGTAGGGTGTGGTAGTGTCAGTGATAGTAGTGGTATTTGGTGTTGGTGGTACATGGGCAGTGCTGGCAGGGTAGTGCTGGCAGGGTAGTGCTGGCAGGGAGTGGTGTTAGTGGTGGGTGTCTTGTGGTGGTTTTAGTTGTTATAGCAATAGAATGCAGTTATTGTAATGAAAGGATAATGATGAGGTCAAACCTTGCAGACCAAAGGTCCCCCGCTATCTCCCTGACAGGCAGAAGAGCCGTCGGCACGTGATGTCCCAGCACATAGATGGGTGTATCGATAGATACCAGATTTGTATTGTTTCTTACAGTCTTCATGTGATACGATTGGTTTAACAGCTTGTTGCAGGACATCGGGTAAGATTGGTTTGGAACCATGGATGAATCCCCATCCTAKAAGTATTAACATTCATTATCAGGATAAAACCAAACACTGCATTGTTGTGATTTGTATTGCAAACCTGTCAGATAACATTGGTCACCGACCGCTGCCTCGGCCTTTGGTAGACAAGCCAATGCTACTTTGGAGCTGAGTTTAGCTGGTCGTTCAAGTTTRAGTAGAGCGATGTCATCTTTATAGTGGTACAGACGGAATCCAGTATGTTTGTAGATTTTAGAGACTCTAATTTCTTGCTGTACTGGTGAAGATCCTTTCAAGTGATGTGCTCCTATAAGATACATGAAATATAACATCAATAATCCACTAYCCCTAGATTATCTAGAAAGTCGATCTGATTCAGAGAAGGCCTATAAAATATCATGATTTGCCGCAACGTTAATGCTGTGAAGGTTAAATTGTTTGACTCACCAACAACAACAGTGTAACTTTGAGCGCTAGGATTCATAATGATACAGTGTGTAGCTGTCAAAACCCAGTCAGGTCTGATTAATGTACCACCACACGAATGGCCACCATTTTCTCTCAGTGAAACCTGCCATGGCCATGCATGGGGCGACGCATCATGACCTTGAACAATACGAGCCTCTGACTGTCGAACACCACAACTTGGATCTGGAAGCACATATAAATAAAATCACATGCTCGTAGAACTCATAGCGAAGCCAAACATGATACTAGGTGTGATCAATTGCTGTTGAAGCTGTAGTTCAGCATAATCTACAAATTCATATATGACTTTTCTTGACTGAATTAGCAAGAAACATACCTGCTCTTACACTCCAGCATACGGCAAGAACAAAAAACACTACAGACTTCATGGCTTACCGTGGAACACCAAAGTATATGAAMATTTTCCGTGTTTCGGGAATCTTTTGGAGACGATCACAGCAATGTGATTGGTTCGTTGATGGTATTGTGTAGKTAGCTGTGATTACCCAGGATGCTTTATGTACATCATATGGACGAGGTGTTGTGAGATTGTTTAATGCACCCAGCCAGATGGAGCTACTCTACAATATCTGGAAGTGGGGGTGGTCKGTGTACTTGGTCGGTATAGAGAGAGTCATTAACTGTGCAATTATTTGATTCAGTTATTAAGCACAACAAACAAAACACCCAGTAAATTCGACTGATTATTGGAGTAAATGCAACATGTGAGAATCGGCGTCAAGTCAACATGGATGATTTCAATAACTGCTGCAGGTGTTCAAGGAAAACTACTTTTTTGAAAACTTTTCAACCTCTTTAAAACGAGCAGTTTGCATWGATAAATATAGAAGAGGAAAATTGATCTTAAGTTAATATAGAAACATGAATGGTTCCTGACTATTGAATGAAATGATTACTTCCGTAAAATGAGAAAACACAGCCAAAAATTCGACACTTGTAAATTTAGTAAGTAATCGATATTCCGAGTGATATCTTCTCCAACCATCACTCTCCATATTTGAATATTTCGAATAGGTGCTATGAGGGTCACAAAATTCACAACTTTTAAAAAATCTTATGGTTGGAAATATAACATATAAGTGCCTCCGCAAAGTTACAGCGCAACATCAAATAAACAACAAGTAATTGTTAACGTGATGAAAAGAGTGAACTTATAGACATATGAATTTAAAGCACAAATCAACGGTGCGCAAAGACTAGTAGCATCGACAACAATGACAGAAACAATGACGACAACAATGACAGAAACAATACAACAATTAGAAGAAGAAAGTTGACTGCAGTGACAATAACAAGAACGAAAACAAACTGATAAAGAGAAGAACAGCGACAATAGCACAAACGGACGAGAAGCAACTTGATCGACAATGAACTACATGACCTTCTAGATGAACAAACATGTTGTGAATGTCATGCGAACACTGTTTATTCGGAGTAGCCGCACGGAACGCGACGCAAAATTGCTCAGATTAATGTTCATTTTCGTTTTGACGTTTTTCAAATCGCGAGGAAAAGCTATTATTATACACAAACCTGAACTTKCAGGGAGCAATTATAGAAAAAACKTGACGACTGTCATCTGCCATAATTCAATACCAATTCCTATCAATTATTTTGCACAAGAAATTTGCGRCAGMCAAAAAAATTCATTTTAATTATGATTGTGTACACTCATATCTCTCGCGTCTTTAATTGTGTACAGTGTCATTTGACTGCCTTGCATTTTTCATTTTAAAATCATCTCTTTCTCATTTTCTTTTTTTTTTTTTGCATTCAGAACAACCAATAATTGTTCATCTACAGTTAATCTCTATGGTCTTAGTGGTTTTTAAGCTGTGTCAATAACATAGTTAGATAAATTGTTTTTTAGTTGGTCAATGTTTCCTAAGACGCCTGTTTCCTAAGAAAGATATTTGTGATGTTCAAAAGACAGAGGATTTGTCCGACAACTATTTGACGTTTGATATGTAAACAGCCGTTCAGTCAATGAYGCTTAGAATAACAATTGCTAAGTGCGTGACTGTCACAGCTATAGTGATGTTATACAAATTGCTTCAACTACCTCAAAGCAGTCAGTCGGATATTCGATGACGCCGGAAAATAGTGCGAACGTCATTAAAAAGATAATTTTAAAAGTTATAATCCTCTAGTGTGTGTCACAGAGAGCAAGAACAGCATGGCGAATAGTACTGTTTTTGTATATACAGACGAGCACGATGCTGCTGAACATCATATTGCTATGGTAGTTGTTAATGCGATCTCCTCACTGGCTGGGATTATTGGTAATTGCCTCGTCTTAGCCGTACTGMTAAAGAACAAGGAGCACTTTCAGGGCATCAATTTATTTATCGCTGCTTTGGCTCTCACAGACYTCACTGTTTGTACYGTTGTGCAACCAGTCTTGATTTGTCTTCTATTTGAAACGGCGTTAGAAGATTCTGCCCTCAAAATATTTGAAGACATTATTTTTGCGATACTGATTCAGATGTCACTGAACCTTTTATTCAGTGTATCTATATTTCGGGTTACCGAGATCTGYCGTCCATTTTTCTACCGTTCATTTGCGACTAGGGCCCGCATGTTAGCCGTTGTTGCGTTTGTTTGCGTTGTCTCCAYAATTCAAGGTATCCTATTTAACCGCAAATTATTTCGTACCGCTGAACCGTACGTTCAGTACGCAACTATTTTCGCTTTCCTGATTATTTACGCCATTATCTACAGAACTGCGTGGAAACATCGAAGTGTCATAGCATGTCAGACTCGTTCACTTGCTTTTAATCATAATATCATGACTGAAACAAGACTTGCCCATCTCAGGACGTCTACCGTTACCACAGGAATCATCACTGGCGCTTTTGTAGTCTGTTTTCTTCCTTTTAGTGTTGTCAATCTCCTCGATTATCAGATGGARGATAATGACAGCTTACTAACAAAATGGGCAACCACAATCGTTTGCTGTAATTCATYTATGAACGCRTATATCTATACCTTAAGAAGTAGAAACTTCAAAAAAGCAGTCTCGAAAACAATACGAGCATTAAACTGTTTCATGTCAGGGTGAAATTACACGATCAAAAGTGTATAATCTGCAAACTTTTAGCTTACGTTATATAATAAGACTGTTGAATAAATTCAAAGAACCTTATATACAAAACGCTTGTTAAATTAATCTACTAAGAAGGATCTATAGAGATAAACATCTGAAGTCATTCTAAAAAATCTAGTCGAAAATAATCACCACTTTCTTTAATAACCTTTCCTAGTAATGTAAATAAAAAAGCCATAAATATCCCAGTTTTATCTCAAATATATTATAGGAAATGATTAATGCTCAACCTTTGTCAAGTAACAGGTGCAAGAAGGCCATCCCCTGTCAAGTATACAAGATGTGACATCATTTTAAAACTCCATTSATTACATTATTAGAAAACTAGTCATTTTTAGAAATTTTTTATGACTTAACAATCGATAGGAAGAGTTTTGTATGTGATGATTATTATGGGATTCTTCCACTATCTGGCTTATCGCGGGGCATCCTTCGAAACCCGTCCGCCCTCACATTTCAGAGTTTAAGACATGATATAAGCATAAAGAGTTTTTCGTAAATCGTGAGAATCGTTGCGGCCGGAATCACTCTCGGTGGATTCAGTCCAGGTTTAGTAAGGAACTGAACAGTTGATAAAACCGGAATCACCTAGATGAAATTGCGTGTCTGTAGGCGGAAGGTCGGAAGAGAAACTCGTATTTTGATGATATACGGAAGTAGAAAATATTACGAACTGAGTTTTGAGACTTCCCATCAAATCGAATGTTACAGCCCTTACAACTAGAGAAAAACATCATTGAATTCTAACAGGTACAAAACTATCTTACATTATAAGCATATCCCGGTGAAGCTAAAAGGCTTTGTTTTGCAATGTTCGTTAGACTTCTTTATATAGAAACATTTACTAGCAATGAGCCGCTCGCTATCGAAAAACATTTATTATGTATGGTAAATGTAATTAGAGTGATGAGAAAAGAGAGACAAGAGTTCCTATGAGACCGTTTCTATTGGACCATGGTATCGAACAGGTGATGTAAACCTGTCAGCTTTTGAATGAGAAAAGTGAAAAAACAAATGAGGGAAAGGTAAATACAGCGACTCACACTACGGCAATTGGAACTAGTTATTCAAATGGCGAAGTAACACAAATATTGTGCTTCGGTTCAGTTTCGTTTGATTTCGTTTGAATTCACAGTATACGCCATTGGAAGTATTCAAAAGAGCGCGAAAAGAGCGAAAAAAAAAATAAACGCGTCACTGTATTTTAATTATGGATTTTAAATTGCTCAGTTAATAAGTGAATAAAAATATTTCTCAAAGACAAACATTTCAAATACCGTGTACAAAGCAAGATGTAAGATATCACACAAGCAAGCGAATCCGCGGTGGTAAGTTTGTGAGCTAACCGCTGATAGGAAGTATCGCAGTCTATGAATGACGTAGAATGGGCCATTTGCTGACGCATGAGGTACAATTCATTTGGCGTCTTTATGGCATTTGAATTACGTGTGCTGCCAAATAAATCCCAAGCCTCGAGGGAAAAAACAGCAACAACAACAACAACAGCAACAACAACAGAACAGGGCAGGACAGGAAAAGCCTTTTTCAATGCCTTGACCCCTCGTAAAAGAAATTGGCACAAATAGATGCGGAAACTAGTCGTTCTGGAATTACCGTCAATACTCGGCCTTACGACGACGGACACACGTAACAATGCTATAGGCACAGAATAATCCACTTGAACAAAAATCTGAATGCACTTCTAAAAAATCGTTTTGGGTTTTTTCTATCAGTACATAATATATAAGTACCAAACAGATTGATTAAACTCGTTCATAGCTGCAATTAGAGCAAATCTTGTATTTCACTAAGTACACTTGATTATAATTATACAAAACCACTTGCGTTGCCAAGCAATAAAACAATATACAAAAAATAACACTCCACAGTCCTAATTGTCTTTAACATCCCGAGGTTTCTATGAATAAATACATAATCTATAAACAAAAGTTAAACAAATTAGTGACTGTGGCTGACTTTCGATAATCTCTTTTAACTGACCGTTAATATTGCACTCCATGTAGGTGCGTAATCATAATGCTATCCTAAGAATGCTTAACACACGTTAACAAATCTCCTTGACCACCTGTTCACTATAAATATACATTGCACGATTCTTTACAAACTATTTGCACTAGTGAGATTTTTAGTGTTTTTATAAATGTTTTTATTATGAAAACAAAACGACAATTCTTTGTGTGTGCAATATATTCAAATTCAATTTAGTACAAGATCGGCGGAAGAAATCATAAAACTTCATTAACATACCTTAATTGGTCCAGCTGTTCTGAAATACTCATTAAATGAATGTTTACTTTTCTCTAAGAAAAAACGCATCTTAATTTATATACTGATACTGATATACTGATATAATCTAAGCAATACATCGATGTTATGTCCTTTGCCGTGATATCTAGTGATAAAAAAAACAATATCACGTGACCTCCCCGTTAGAAGATGACGCATTTATCAATGATTCATTACATGTTTTTTTATTTCTCAAAAGTCAGCTATATATGTTGGCTGACTCTTTGCTTCGTTCTTTCAAACAGCATGCGAATGTGAACTGTTTTTCTCATCTTGCCCAAACCCTTATGGTTTGTTGAGATTTTTACTGACGATAATATAGAGTTCTGGTTTTAGATTTCACGATAATACGATGTCTGTTTTTGTGATGATATGTCTTCTTATGACGACTGTTCAATGTGCTACCTGTACAAAGTGTTCATCCAACTGCATATGTTTTCAAGGTGACGATGGAAACCTGGCTGCCAAGTGTAACATCAAAGAAAATACCAAACTTGTCCTACCAGTGTACGTAACAACACTGTAAGTATCACAAAGAGACTCCACTAAACCGTGATCTGTGAAATCTCTTTTCTTGCATATCTAATTTGTTGATCGGATCGAATTTTTTTAATTTCCTTCTAGGCGCAGATTCGTTTTGTGACAAAAGCAAATTTCATTTGGTAGTTTTACTACTCACATTTCATCAGTTAATGCCAGATAATCCAATATACTGTCATACCCCGTGTTCGTTAGTTGATTATTGTTGATTTTTTTCAGAGATCTTTCCAACAACAGTCTGACTGATATTCCAGATAAAGTTTTCCAAGTTACACCATATCTTATCCATCTGTAAGTACAAGAATTAAATTCTAGTTTGTGTCTTGATAAACGTCTTTCATGCCTCAGCAACTGTCTTCACACATGTTTTTCTCACTAACAGGATTTTAGCAAACAACCGCATCAAGCGAATAGAAGAAAAAAGCTTTCAAAACCTAAGTTATGTTAGTTCAATGTACGTATCACCATTATATCATGCACAAACATTTGATGGTGAATTTGAGTTGCATAAGTAAACTATAAGTTCTATTCACATTGTTATGTTTTCAGAGATCTATCAAACAATGGGCTGAAAGAATGGAAAGTTGACGCTAAATATGAGCTATCGCAGCTACGTCACGTCAAACTCGTTGACAACCCCTTCATACCTGGTCAGCAATTACTCACACTACCCATGCTAATAGCAGTTGAAGGAGTTTCTTGGAGTAAAAGCTGCCCAAATTGTTTATTGATTAAAACGGACTTGGTTAAGAATCTATCGGCAGCCACAGAAGTAGAGTTCTGTGAAGTAAGTCCAAAAGATTTTCACTGGCATGATGAAGTACGTTACGGTTTGTCCTTTCGGTTGGCTCAAAATGGTTTTTCTGCACAGTGTCTCTGTGCAAGTCAACAATGCGCTTCAGAAGAGAAAGACATGCCTTACAGTCTTGAGCTTAACTATATCATCAGACAGCTCTTTTATGTCGAGTATATACTGGGAACCACTGCAATCATTGCAAACTTAGTTGTCGCCCTAACAATAATTCTGTCACGCAGTCTCCACAAGCCATCATTTATAATGATATGCAACATAGCATTGTGTGACCTTCTTATGGGTGTTTACTCGATTCTGATTGGACGATTCACTGTTTATGAGTTCATTGTTCATCAAGACCGTTATCCAAATATGGATGTGTTTGTCAACGATTACTGCTCAGCTATGGGTTTCATTTTCTCTACGTCACAGCTGGTTGCCGTGCCAACATCATTACTGATGACAATTGAAAGGTTTTTGAGTATCGTTTACTGTATGAATCCTGGTCGTCGCTTAGGAACGAAAAAATGCATGATTATTTGCGTTTTTTTCTGGTTTGCTGGACTATCGTATGCTATACTACCGCTGGTCCGTGTGGGTGGTCTGCGGTATCATGGTGAATATCAATGTATGCTACCATTCGTCAATGGTGAACACCAGACTGACGTTAGCAAGTCTACAWTGGTTATAGCAATTCTACTTGCATTGGTTTATCTGATTACCGTAATTTTATATATACCGATATATAGATATGTCAAGAATAATAGCATAAGTGTTGGTGTCAAACGAAAAGCCACTTTAGCAAAGAACATCGCCATTATGATCTCCACGAACTTTATGTTCTTCCTGGCTCCTCTGATATCGACTCTTATCTTTGTTTACTGCTATGACACATTTGCTGAACTACTAAAAGTTGACACACTGAGAAAGTTTCAGATCTACTTAATCTTTCTTTCCTGGCTTCCTGTAGTGCTACTTAACATAAACTCTTGTTTGAATCCTTTTCTCTGCGCATTCAGACATCCTCAGTTTCAAGCACAGATAATGTTGACAGTGAAGAGAATCAGAAGACAAGAACCCTATAGAAATAGTACTACCCCTGGAGCACAGACAATTAAAACTATCCGCGTCATAACTCTCGGTGATTTTTCATCTCGAAATGCTGAAGAAATTGGTGTGAACAATTGTGCTTTTGAACAGACGACACACGTCTGTCAAACCTCTCTAGACACCAATGACATCAAGTGAGATTTGAGTGGTGCGAAATCGATCATTGACTGCACTACCAGGAAACTGAACTTCAAAGGATTGCACGATCATAATAATGGTGATGATGATCATTATTATTTTACGACTGTAGATAAACGTATGCGAAGTGCGCGCAGTTAAACATAATTAGAAAATATGATATTGAAATTGGTGGTAAAATTAAAAAAATTGAACGTTTGATTGTTTATATAATTTGTCATAAAACTAAAATCTGTTTCAATAAACTTGATTGATTGGTTGATCTATTGAATACCTCGGTGAGCAAAGATTTACTAGTATACGCCAATGCTTTTTAGTTATTTTTTGCGTCAATCGACCAATTTTCAATAGAATAAGGAATCAGCTGTACAGGTGAATGAAGTCCGCATGCATTTCGTATAATAGTTTCCACTAACACAAAGCTAGTTTGATGAACTTCAAGTAATCTTCCAAGATGAAGATTTTCGATTTTATATCTATTCTTGTTGTGCTGGCCGCAACACCACTGTTTGCAGAAGGTAATCAATCATTTAAGGTACATTTCCGTAATGAGCAAAACAAAAATACAAATATGTGTAATTTACAGGTATATTATTTTATAGTGCGAGAATTAGCGGGACTCAAAGACCCATACTTCCAAACCGAAAATAGGAAAACTTCAACTCTCAAAGCCAATTGGTTCAAAGCCGAATTATCGGCTTGGCAGAACCTTCAGAGATCTCTACATCTTTACATAAGTACAAAAACAGTTTTCCGATGACCATAAACCAGTTACTAGCTTACGACACAGCAAAGGAATGGGAAACTTCTCCTTACCTAAGATTTTGAACAACTCTACTCAAACTTGTCAGCATGTATAGCAAATGAAAAAATGCAGTCTGCCGAAACCAAACCTTAGACCTTCTATAATTCTTTTGAAATTCTTTTCGTAAATAATTGCACTAGTAGTTGTTAAATATACCTTAAATGCAGGTCCTTTACCTCCCACGAATTTGCTACCACCGCAACCACTACCTACAGATGATCCACCGCAAACTACAGATGATCCTCCACTAGCCCTACTACGACTACTGTCTCCTTCAGATGGACCACCTTTTCAACCTCCTCCTTATCCAGCTCTTCCTACAGATGAGCCTCTTCCTCCACTTCCTCCAACAGATGTACCACCACTTCCGCCTCTTCCACCACCTCCACCTACAGATGGACCACCACTTCCGCCTCTTCCACCACCTCCACCACCTACAGATGGAC